CACCACCACCAGAAATTGGAGGGGGGAAGGAGGTGGAGGAGGAGGAGGAGGAGGAGGAGGAGGAGAAGGAGCATGAGGAGGAGAGGAGGAGGAGGAAGGAGAGGAGAGGAGGAGGAGGAGGGGAGGAGAGGAGGAGAGGAGGGAGGGGAGGAGAGGAGGAGGAGGAGGAGGAGAGGAGGAGGAGGAGGGAGGAGGAGGAGGAGGGAGGGGAGAGGAGGAGGAGGACGAGGAGGAGGAGGGAGGACGAGTGGAGGAGGAGGAGGAGGAGGAGGAGGAGTAGGAGGAGGAGGAGGGGAAGGACCCCCTCCCCCTCCAACTTATGGTGGTGGTGGTGGTGGAGGAAATCAGGCCCATCACTAGATCATACTCGAGGCAGCCACACTGAGATCGGCGGCGAGCGAGGGGAGAAATGAGAAGGGGCGGGCCTTCAGTCCCCCAGCCTTCTGAGGCGTTTGCTCTGCTTTCCCCAGAGGTGAGGAACACTTGTCAGAAGGCGCGAGGGCTTCTGAGAAGCCCCCGCCGCCTTCTGAGCAGCTGTTCTCCTTCTCACTTCCCCCCCGCTCGCCGCCGATGATAAGCTGTGCCGTGGCTCTCGCGCCAATGCAATCAACGTTGCCATCCGCGTCACCGTGTTTGTCATCAGCGTGGAGGCCATCATTGTCACCATTGTCATCCTCACGGGTCCCTGTGCTCGCCACCGTAGTGGTGTCCCTGTGGTGATTGTCGTGGTCGTGTTTGTGATGATGGTGGTTGCAGCTGCTGCTGTTGCTGCTCCTGCTTCCACTAGTGTTGCTGTCGCTACTACGACTGATGATGCAGTGCCCGGGCGAGGGAGAGCAGAGGAAGAGAAACGACGAGGCGACGGAGGAGGAGCAGGGGCGGCATCGTTGCTGAGAAAGGGGTGGAGGGATAGACGGATATGGATCATGACGATGATATGGCGGAACAGGGAGAGAAGGAGGAGGTTGAGGAGGAGGACGACGACGAGAAAAGGAGGACGATGATGAGGAGGAGGAGGCGGAGCAGGCGGAGGAACCAATGAGGACAGGGACTGCAGCAACGATGATGGGGAATAACAGCGGTATGGAGCAGGGGGAACCGACCAACGCGGGGGCACGTATTGCGTTGTGTGCTGGGCTCTTCTTGATGACAGTGGTAACGATCCGACGCCATCATCCCACGTCGTCCGGCGAATCAGTGGGTACACGCAGCCGCGACTGCCTCCACGGACTGACTGGGGCGAGGGATTGCTGGCACCCCTCGGGGCAAGACTTCGGGAGTACCATGGTGGAGCTGCACGCGGCACTCTTCGGAGGGACAGAAGATGAGGACCATGACCAAGGCTGAACGCGGAAACATCGGTGTCGATTTTGGTCATCGCTCATCTTGGCCATCGCCGCTCGCCAATTCGTGGATCGTCCTCGGGAGCCAGCCACGTGTTTATTCCTTGGGTTCTGGGCCTGCAGCCAGGCTCGGACGGGGCTAGGACGAGGATGAATCGGTTCCAGAGCGTTCTGGAACGCTCTGGGAAGTCCGCGGCACCCGAGATATCCTCCAGAACCTCCCGATGATCGTTTTCTTTTGCACTGTTGTGCCGATCGGCGCGGGCCCTCGCACCTCCCACTCTTCGCCCCCCCCTATGGAGCGGATCTTGGTCGTTTTTTGGGCGTCTGTCTCGAGCAGGTGGAGGCTCCCCACAGGACGCACGGTGGCAAACGCGGATTCACGAATGTGAAGCGTAGTTTGTCTCCTTGCCTCCCCCCTCCGCGTTTGCCTGCATCGCGTTGCACTGCGTGTCGTGCCTTTCTTATTTGTTCCTCTCCGCAGCGCTCGCCTTCTCGATTCCTCCTCGCCCGAATTCATCCTCGCCCTGCAACTGTCTCACAGGGGCTCCCCGACGTGCCTCCGGGGGAGCGCCGTGGCCAGGGGCGCTCGGCCCCGTCGGCCAGGACGGGCCCGCCATCCCTCGTGCGCTCGGGACTGGCTTCTCGTCCCCGAGCCGTTTGGAATGGCGGTTTCCGAAGGCCCGGCGAGGGCCTCCGGAGACCGAAGAGGGCGAGCCACCTCTCGCCGCGGTTCTTGTTCACCAGCGCGAGGGGGCCTTTGTGTAGCTAGGGGGCCACATGCGAACCCTACCCCTCAGAAATCGTGGGCGGTAGGGGTAGGGTTCGCATGTGACCCCCTAGTAGCGCGAGGGGCTCTTTGTGTCGTCTCCCGGCGTCGTCTTCCAGGGGCTCCCCGACGTGCCTCCGGGGCCGCGCCGCGGGCAGGAGCGCGCTCGGCCCAGTCGGCCAGGAGCTGGCGCCGGGGCCTCGCGCGTGGGGTAGGGCGAGGAGGAGGAGGAGGAGGAGGAGGAGGAGGAGGAGGAGGAGGAGGAGGGCGGGGGAGGGGGAGGAGGAGGAGGGGGAAGGAGGAGGAGGAGGAGGAGGAGGAGGAGGAGGTGGAGGAGGCGGAGGAGGAGGAGGAGGAGGAGGTGGAGGAGGAGGAGGAGGGGGATGATGATGATAGATGCTGATGATGATGATGATGATGATGATGATGATGATGATGATGATGATGATGATGATGATGATGATGATGATGATGATGATGATGATATGACGATGACGTGCGATGACGATGACGATGACGATGACGATGACGATGACGATGATGAGATGATGATGATGATGATGCTGATGATGATGAAGATGATTATGATTGATTATGGTGGTGATGATGATGATGATGATGATGGCGATGATGATGATGATGATGATGATGATGATGATGATGATGATGATGATGATGATGATGATGAGGATGTGCTGATGAGGATGATGATGGTGATGATGATGAAGATGATGGTGATGATGAATGATGCTGCTGATGATGCTAATGAGCGTTGATGCTGCTGATGATGATGATGCTGATGATGCTGATGATGATGAGGAGGTGGAGGAGGAGGAGGAGGGGAGGGAGAGGAGGAAGAAGAGGATGAGGAGGAGGAGGAGGGGGGGGGTAGAGGAGGAGGGAGGGGGAGGAGGTGGAGGAGGAGGGGAAGGGGAGGAGGAGGAGGAGGAGGAGAGGAGGAGGAGGAGGAGTGAGGAGGAGGTGGAGAGGAAAAGGAGGAAGGGGAGGAGGAGGGGGAGGAGGAAGCCCATCGGCACCGTGCACCGGCCGCTGCAGCAGCTTCACGCAGCATGGCCAGACCCTCCTGCAGGGCGTCCTCGGCGCAGGCGGCGGCTTCCAAGCTCCAGCCGTACTCGGCGGCGAGCCCAAGGGGGGAAGTGATTACAGGGAGGGCCTTCTCGGAAGGCTCGGAAGTCCCCCGGCCTTCTGGCAGAAGTTTCATGAGCCTTCCCCTGAGACACAGGAAACCTCTCTGCAGAAGGCGCGAGGGCTTCTGAGAAGCCCCGCCGCCTTCTGAGCAGGTGTTCTCCTTCTCACTACCTCCCCTCGCTCGCCGCCGAGTTTGTCCCGTTTCCGGAAAGTCTGCTTCTTCGATATGAAAGTTTGAACGTTGCTTCATGACGGTTCTGATAAGAGTGGTACAGAAAAGGCGCATTTGTTGTGCCCTGAAGGGGCCCCAAAGGCCCCCCTTGGGCCCAAAAACGGTCACGAAAGGTGCACCGGAGGGTGTAATCAAGTCGCGCCTGTCCCTCCACAGGAGGAAGATTCAAACATAATCAAAACATAGCCTGGGGACTATTCCCCGTTTTTGTGTACTTCCGAGCATGTTTTGACTACTCGTAATTTTTCGTCCAAAATCCGCCTGTAGGGTGGCATGCCCGACCTAACATCATCGGAACCAAACGGCGACGGCACCGGAGAGGCCTTCGGTGCTGGGTGGCTCCAGCGCGGCCGGTCCCCTGTGAGGTTCCGGGCGGACGGGCCATGCGGACATCAGCGATCGACTAGACGTAAGAGTGGGCTTTCGCAGGGGTGACCCTTTTGTGCGGGCCCAATGGGTTCCCCCGGTCGCCGAGCGCGCTGCGATATAGTAGCCCCTTGCGCGCCTGCGGTTGGCCCCCCCCGCGGTCCCCATAAGGCCGCGCACCAACGGTCGCTCTTACCCAGGGTCGCTCTTGCGTGTAATGGAGGATGACGATTAATAAATGACCGGGGGTCGTGTTCACGCGGCGGCGCCTGGGATGACGATTAGCAAAAACCGGCCGCGGGCTGGAAAACTATTCTGTTTTAGTCGTTCTTTTCCAGTCAGAAAATTGTGCAGACATTGCAGGAAACTATTTGTTTAATCGTTCTCTCCCATTTTTTTATTAATCGCCATCCCGCATTAGTCGAACAGCAAGTGCGCGGGCTTTTTTTTTCTGAGCAGGCGAGGGTCGGCCCAGAGTTTTTTCCCACTTCTGGGCGGCGTTCTCCCGCGGGCTTCGGCCGCGTGGGCCCCTCGTCGGGCCCACGGGGTGCCACCATCAAGACGGGCCCGGGGCGAACAAGTGGCCCCGGGGAAGGGGTCGAGGTCTCCTGGGGCCACGCGTTGAACAAAACAATCGTCATCGCATACTCCAGATTTCGTGATAAAAGGGAGGGGGTCTGGACCCTCCAAGACAAGCCATTTCAGACCTCCCCCGTGGGAGAACCCTCCAAAACATCGTCCCCAGACCCCCCAGGCCTTCAAGATAGCCTGGAAGAGACCCCCCCCGAAATGAGACCCCCCTCCCTTTATCCCGAAATCTGGAGTAATTATCTGCCGACGGACCTGGGGCGAAAATCGGCCCTGGGGAAGGGGTCGAGGCCTCTGGGCCCACGCGTGGAACAAAAACACACAGATCATCGCATGATGAAATGATCTGCCACAGGCACCTGCGTGCGTAGGGCAGACAGGGCACCCGCGACCGCTTCCGACGTGGGAGCACGTTCCCTCGGCTGCACAGGCGGTGCAAGTCACCTGGGTGAGGACAGCGTGAGGGGGCAGGACGCGTCTTTTTGTCGTGGTCGGGCTGGCGTTGTTGCCGCATCCTACCACTGTTTCATGATACGGTGTCCGTCGGTGGGCCATGCCGCCCCCATTCGTTGAGGGCTTCTTCAGCGAGGACGAGATGAAGCGACGCGACCCGAAGCTTTTCCACAAGCTGGTGGGACGCCATCTCGATTCAGGTCAGGCCATGCTTTGCCTCCTCCCTCCTCCCTTCAGCCCCTTCCTCCTCGCGCGCGGCCTTCAGGAGCAAGGCACGACATGAGTAGACGGAGGGGAGGAGGGGGAGCAGGGACAAGGGATGAGGACTGGATGAGAGGCCCATCGTCAGCCTGCCAGACACGTGCGGATTAGCGGCATCATCTATGCAATGCCACCAGCTCAGGAAAGGAGAGCGTGGCGGCGAATGCAGTCCACCACAGCTGCACACAGGCAGGTTCAAGCAACGAGATCATGACACGTACACCGACCAGAGCCACCAGGCAAGGGACACAAATGGGACAGCAGCGCTGATCAGTGATAGGAGGGTACGTCGGTGGTCTATGATCTCTACGAACAAGCTGCGAGAAGCTGCACCGAGGCAGAATCGAAATTCCCAGAGAAGGATCAGGACAGCTCACAGAGAGGCCAGATACCGTTGCGGGGAGCCACCGGATCGAATGCGAACCGCCAGAGGCGGGGAACACGAGAGACCAGGCCGCTGCCCACGGGGCGCGCTGGCAGGGCAGATCGCGCCGTAGCTCACGACCTGCTGCGTGGCAGTCCACGTGTGCGAGCGGCAGCTCCGCGGCGACGCCAAGCACCACGCGCAGCACCTCCGCCGAGGAGTCGAGCCGGGACGCGGCCGCCCGCACCAGGGACGCGCTGCAGCAGGCGATGGGTCTGCTCCCGTGGGCGGACGGCAGCCCCCGTGGAGGTGACCCCCGCCGCTCTCGCAGAGCATGCTCCCGCCGCGCGGCGGAGCTCTGTGGAGGCTGCCGCCTGGCCAAGGGCCGCGCCGCCGCAGCAGCTGAGGGGGGCGGCCCACGAAGGCACGCGGCGGCCCCCGTCAGGATTCGGGCGGTTGCGAACATGGATCAAGGGGGCGAAATCGCGGAGCGAGGCGGCACCGGCCGCATTTTGGGGAGGGCACCTCCCCCGATCCATGGATCTGGCTTTGGCGACCGCGCGCCAAATCCACAGATCGCTGATCCACGTTGGCGCGTCCCCGAAGGAAGCCCGGCACCTTTGTCCGTTCGCGAGGGCGCTGGCTCAGTGGCCTCGCCTTTTTGGGTGCAGGCTCCCCGCGAGCTTGCGAAAAGGCAGCGCGCGGGACAGAGCGTGCGCGAACAAGACAGTCAGGGCGAGCGGGCTGCAACAGCGGGGTAAAACAATTACCCTGCGACGTACCCAACCCATGTGCATCAAGTGGCAAGAGGAGTAGGCCAACACTAGCAGGAACAACGAGCGGTGAATTGCTCTGCAAACTACATGGGATGCGCATGCGTTGCACGACTCACATGACGACGATCGAAAGAACGAGGATTGAGGCCCCAGGCTCGAAGAATAACAGGGACAGGAACGAGGGGCAGGAGAAGGATGGAATGGGGGGTAATCTGAATCTGCGTATGACGTCATTCGAAAGTGGCGACCCCGAAAGTGGCGACAGCAGACCACGAAAGTGGCGACAGTTTCGCAGATCGCAGACCCCCAGGGATGGCGAGGTCTAATCTGAATCTGCGTGTGACGTCACCAGCAGCCCTCGAAGTTGGCGACAGTTTCGCAGATTGCAGCCCCCCAGGGATGGCGAGGGCTAGTCTGAATCTGCGTGTGACGTCACTCCGCTGGGCCCCCCAGCAGCCCTCGAAAGTGGTGACAGTTTCGGAGATCTCAGCCCCCCAGGGATGGCGAGGTCTAATCTGGATCTGCTGACCCCACTCCGCTGGGCCCCCCAGTAGCCCTCGAAAGTGGCGACAGCTTCGCAGATCTCAGCCCCCCAGGGATGGCGAGGTCTAATCTGAATCTGCGTATGACCCCACTCCGCTGGACCCCCCCCAGCAGCCCTCGAAAGTGGCGACAGCTTCGCAGATCTCAGCCCCCCAGGGATGGCGAGGTCTAATCTGAATCTGCGTATGACCCCACTCCGCTGGGCCCCCCAGCATCCCTCGAAAGTGGTGACAGTTTCGGAGATCTCAGCCCCCCAGGGATGGCGAGGTCTAATCTGAGTCTGCGTATGTCCCCACTCCGCTGGGCCCCCCAGCAGCCCTCGAAAGTGGCGACAGTTTCGGAGCTCGCAGGCTCCCAGAGATGGCGAGGTCTAATCAGAATCTGCGCATGACCCCACTCCGCTGGGCCCCCCAGTAGCCCTCGAAAGTGGCGACAGCTTCGCAGATCTCAGCCCCCCAGGGATGGCGAGGTCTAATCTGAATCTGCGTATGACCCCACTCCGCTGGGCCCCCCCAGCAGCCCTCGAAAGTGGCGACAGCTTCGCAGATCGCAGCCCCCCAGGGATGGCGAGGTCTAATCTGAATCTGCGCATGACCCCACTCCGCTGGGCCCCCCAGCAGCCCTCGAAAGTGGCGACAGTTTCGCTGATCGCAGCCCCCCAGGGACGGCGAGGTCTAATCTGAATCTGCGCATGACCCCACTCCGCTGGGCCCCCCAGCAGCCCTCGAAAGTGGTGACAGTTTCGGAGATCGCAGCCCCCCAGGGATGGCGGGGTCTAATCTAAATCTGCGTATGACCCCATTCCGCTGGGCTCCCCAGCAGTCTTCGAAGTTGGCGACAGCTTCGCAGATCGCAGCCCCACAGGGATGCTGAGGTAGGAGACAAACTAGCACGCAGGAGCGATCGAGGTAGGAAGCAGGGGGGAAGAGGAAAGGAGGAGGGGTCGGGAGAGGAGAGGAGAGGAGTCGCGACCGCAGCTGCTCTATTCAAAACGACAACCCAACGCAGGAGGGTTGGGGGAAAAAAAGAGAGATGCCCGGCATTGGGGGGCATTGAGCCGAGGTGCAGCACCGGTACATAGTAGTGTCGGACGACGAAGCAGCCCGAGACCTCGTAGGCGAAAGGCAACCCCGTCAAAATGCCTGGCACCTCGTAGCACTTCGCCGCGTGGCTCAGCTCGGAAGCCGCCGCCTGCGCCCAGGACGCGCTGCAGTAGCGGAATGGATGGTCCTCGCAGTTGGTCCACAGCCTCGTGGATATGTTACGCCCGTCATGGCACTCCGCTATATGGCTGAGCTTGGGCGCTGCCGCCTGCGTCAAGGATCGGCGGCGAGCGAAGGGGAGGGGAAGTGAGAAGGAAAAGGGCGGCGGCGGCACTTCTCGGAAACCCTCTCGCCTTTTTAAGAGTGATTTGTGTGTCCGGGGAAGGCTTAGGACATTCCTTAGAAGGCCAGGGGCTTCCAACCCTTCTGAGAAGGACCGCCCCTTCTCACTTCCCCCTTGGGCTCGCCGCCGAGTGCTAGCTTGGGAGCCGCCGCCTGCGCCAAGGCCGCGGTGCATGAAGGTCTGGCCATGCTGCGTGAAGCTGCTGCAGCGGCCGGTGCGCGGTGCCGATGGGTTTCCTCCTCCTCCTCTTCTTCCTCCTCCTCCTCCTCCTCTCTTTTTTTTCCCCCCTCCTCCTCCACCTCCTCTTCCTCCTGAGCAAACGGCATAAACATAAAAAGTTTGGCGCTCCGCGCGGACTTCTTGGACCCGCGCTGTGACCCCCCTGGCGGCGCCCGCAGCGCTGCCCCTGGCGCGCTCCGCGCGCCAGGGAGAAGGGGGTCCGGCGCAGATCCAAGAAATCCGCGCGGAGCGCCACAAGGGCATGTTTGTGGCAACTGTTTTCTTCTTCGCCGGACCCCTAACCCTAGTATTATGTCGGGCGTGTCCCCCTACAGGGGGATTTTCGACGGAAAATAAAAAATACCCCAAAACTACGCCAAAAAGGTAAAAACATTCAATGAATAAATAGTCCCCAGACTATTGGTTTTGATTATTTTTGAATTATTTCGGGTGTATTTTCGTCAAAACCCCTCCTGTAGGGGGACAGGCCCGACTTAACCCTAGTAACGCGATGAAGACGTGGCCGCACTGAGGTCCCCTTTTTCACATTGGCGGTTTGGCTTGATGTACAGCTGTTGCGGAGACCCTCTCATCCCTGATGTTCCTGGCCCTCCTAGATTCGGTCGCCTCACGAAGGGTTCGGGGTCCTTCTGCGCCTAACCACCCCAGGATACTGGCCACGCGCGAGGCCGAGAAAAAGGCACGAGGAATCGACGTCCCAGCGGTGGCAAGGAGCGGGGTCGGCGCGGGGCGCCCGGGAGGTTCGCGCAGAGCTGGCCTGGCCGGCACGATGCGGAGGAGGAGGAGGAGGAGGAGGAGGAGGAGGAGGAGGAGGAGGAGGAGGAGGAGGAGGAGGAGGAGGAGGGGAGGGGGGAGGAGGGAAGGAGGAGAGGAGGAGGAGGCGGAGGAGGAGGAGGAGGAGGAGGAGGAGGAGGAGGAGGAGGAGGAGGAGGAGAGCACATCGCTGGTTGTTTCGGTCCTCTTGGCATGCGCCCAGAGAGCCGACGCTCCCCCAAGAAGGTCGGAGCGGCGGGGTCAGGGGCCGTCCTCAGCCTCCAGGGGGCCCTCGCGGGGCCTCGGGGGCGTCAAGCAACAGCTCTGGACGAAGAACAGGCCCTGGTGGACCCACGCTCGCTCCCTGGAGGAGGAGGAGGAGGAGGAGGAGGAGGAGGAGGAGGAGGAGAGGAGGAGGAGGAGGAGGAGCTAGGAGCTAGGAGCTAGGAGCTAGGAGCTAGGAGCTAGGAGCTAGGAGCTAGGAGCTAGGAGCTAGGAGCTAGGAGCTAGGAGCTAGGAGCTAGGAGCTGGGGGACGACAGTGTGAACACCTCACGACGTCGGGGCACACCCCACCATCGAGGACAAAGAACCCCAGACCCTAAGGATCTGATGAAGACGCGGCTTCACTGAGGTCTCCTCTCTCTCTCTCTCATGCGGGCTAAAACATCTGGGCGTTTTGGCTCGGTATATCTGCAGAAAAGACTCCCTTATCCCTAATGTTCCTGGCCCTCCAGGGCCCACGCATCGAGCAGAATTGGATCGACCGGATGTCTGGGAGCAGAGGTCTGCTTGATTCGGTCCCTGTGGCATACAGTCAGGTCACTTGCTCAAGCGCGTCGCGCCGCGGATTTTGGCCCACCATGCTTCGGCGCGGAACGCTGACCACTTCCCTGTCCCCAAGCGTCAACGGCTCGAGATTTGCAACGGCCTCCCGCCCCGTGGAGCGATGCGACACGCTGCCCTCTTGCAGGGCATAGTTTCCGTGCCGCCGGAGTTGCGGCCGTGACACGCCAAGCAGCAGTCCCTGACCGCAGCGAGGCGGGAGTTTCAAGGGCTGTGGGAAAGTGTGAATGATAAAAGGGTAGCCTGGAAGAGCGGCGTGACTTCCATGAGTCTGATGGTTTCCAGAGGGTGTCGGTAAATCAGAGCGTCACGTCTGATGTGTACCTATATATATATATATACATCTATATGTATATAGATATGCTTCAGATGTGTCGATGTAGCTGCATATGCGTATACACACTTGTATGTGTACATGTGTGTATGTATGTTGTATGTGTGCATGCATGCGTACTTGTATGCATGTATGTATGTATACATGTATGCATGAATGTATGTATGTTTGTACGCATGCACACCTGCATGGATGTATGGAGGTATGTAGATGTGTATGTATATGTGTATGTATGCATGTATGTATGTATGCATGTATATGCATTCATGTATGTATGTATGTGCGTATGTATGCAGTGTGTCTGTTTGTCTGTCTGTCTGTCTGTCTGTCTGTCCGTCGGTCTGTATGTATGTATGTTTGTATGCGTGCATGCATGCATGCATGTATGATTGTATGTATGTATGCATATATGTATGCATGTATGTATGTATGTATGTATGTGTGTATGTATGTATATATGTATGTGTGTATGTGTGTATGTGTGTACGTACGTATATATGTATGTGTGCATGCATGCATGTATAGATGTATGCATGCATGTATACATATAGGTATATGTATGCATGTATGTATGTATGCATGTATGTATGTATGTATGCATGTGTATGTATGTATGTATGTATGTATGCATGTATGTATGTCTTTATGTATCGTATGTAAATGCATATCCAGATGCATGCACATATATGGATGTACATGCATATGTGTTTTGACCTCCGTTGTTGCGCAGGTGCTCGGCTATCTCAGCCGATGCAGGGCAGCCTGTCTGGATACTTGATGCAGCGGCTCGAGAAGGAGTCAGAGGCAGCTATTGCTCCCTCACTACCGATGCGCCCCCAAGACTTTCGACGACGCTGTTTTTTCGAATGACTTCACAGCATGAGGAAGCCACATGTTTGGCCCGCGACGGAGGAGTCCAGTGGCAGAGATCAGATAGACGGCGCGACACGACGACGAACACGACGGACGACAGACGAACGACGAGGGCGCGGGGGGTGGGGTGCGGTGGGGGGGCAAGCATACACTTCGGACGTCGCTGACGATTCCCCCTTCGGATCTGGCGGCCGCACTCTGCTTCCCAGCGGCGCCTCTCAGAGTGGCGGGGGGTCTGGCGCTGGTGGAGAGAACGTTCGAAGACGCCTGACAAGTCTGTTCATGGAGTCTGCGACCACCCATGGCGCGAGCTAAGCGCTGTAAAAAGCGATTTCGTGTTTTCCGTTTTCGTTTTTTAGTTTATGTGCAACATGGGCGGGACGAAGACAGAACGGGGGACAACCGAAACTTATCAAATTCAGTATCGTTTAACCGACCCCCATCCCCATCCCCATCCCCTTCGAGACCCCCACCAAATTACCACCACAGTTGGGGATACACCCCTCGAGACCCGAAGGGGACGGCCTACATCCCCATCTAGGGGGGTTAAACCGGCCAGTGGGGCCAAGGCCACGCCGCTGGGGATGGGGATCGGTTCAACGATACTCACAAACACGTAGAGTCTCACTTAGCCCGCGCCGTGTGGCCACCTCCTCGTTCCCGCCACTGTTATGCGGGCAACTCTCTGCCTCTTTGTAGATCCTCACCTGGCCCGTCCGAGCTGTGCCTAGCGCCAGGTCTGCAGTCAAGCATGGTTTTTGGGGGGTGTTCTGGCTCTCTGGGAGGAGGGAGGAAGAGGAGGAGGAGGAGGAGGAGGAGGAGGACGAGGAGGAGGAGGAGGAGGACGAGGAGGAGGAGGAGGACGAGGAGGAGGAGGAGGAGGAGGAGAGGAGGAGGAGGAGAGGAGGAGGAGGAGGAGGAGGAGGAGGAGGAGGAGGAGGAGGAGGAGGAGGAGGAGCTGCCTCGGCTCACGCCGCGCTTCGCCTGGGCCCGCGCCCGCCGCCCCTCGGGATGGCCGCTGCGGGAGCCGCTGCGCGTGCGGACGCTGGCAGCGCGGCTACGGCGCGCCGCGGGGCCCTCGAGGCCGCCCGCGGCGCCCTCCTGGCGGCGCACGCCGCCAGCGGCCTCGCAGGAGCGGCGGCGTCCCGAGACGGGACCCGCCTGCTCCGCGCGGCCGAAGGCCTGCTCCGCGCGGCCATTGCGGAGCTCGGCGCGAGGGCTGCGCCGCCCCCATCGGCTGCTGCCGCGGACCGCCCTGGGCGGCGCCGCAGGCCGCGCGGCCGTGCGGGGCGTGGCGCAGGGGCCCCTCCTGACGCGTCGAGTGCCCGCGACGGCGACGTTGCGGTCCGGGACGGAGCAGCTGATGGTGCCGCTGCTGCAGCTGGAGCGCTGGGCGGGCCCCCTGGCGCGAAAGCAGCGGCGCAGGTGCGGCGGCCTCGGCGCCGCAAGCGGCCTGCGAGGGCATCGTCGGCACGGACTCCTGGGGACGTCGCGATGGCGGCGGTTGCCGACGCGTCGGACGGCGGCACCCTCGAGGACGACTCCTGGGCTGACGGCTTGAAGGTCCCTGCTGCGGCGGGCCCTCGCGGTGGTGATGCTGCCGCTGCTGTCCCGCCTCCTGCGGTGCCTGCTGCTGGGGCGGCGACCGAGACGGAGCTCTTGGTCGACGCCGTCGTGGTGGAGGGCATCATGCGGCGCGAGTTCGCGTCGCAGATGGCCGAAGACCGCTTCGGCAGGGAGGAGCTGGAGAGGCTGCTGGTGGAGCGTCGGGTGGCGGCTGCTGGCGTGCTGGCGGCGGCCCGGGGCGCGCGTGGGGATGCGGGGGGAGGGCGATAATGCCCGCCAGCATCGCTGGCGGGCCGTCCTCCCCCTCAGCGTGCTCCACGAGGGCGTCCTCGTCCCATTCGGCTCCCGCGTCCTCTTCTCCCTTTGAGTTTTGCTGCTGGAGGCGGGTCGGCACCGACGCCCGCCTCAGGAACGAACGAACGAACGAACGAAGAGGAGGAGGAGGAGGAGGAGGAGGAGCAGACCTGGATCCTCTCTGCGGGCAGTTCTTGCTCCTCGCGGGCCGCCGAACATGCAGCAACACATACGCCAGTGCGTAGCTTCTGGCGCGAGGTCGGGCCCTCCCTAGCGGGCGGGCATCGGCGGCCCCTCCCCGGAAGGGCTGCGTTTTTTTTTTTTTTTTTTTTTTTTTTTTGCCAGGATTTCCCGAGGTGGATCCGGAGGTGGCGACGAGGGCCCCCCAGGACCGGCGGCAAGTCCAGCTGGGAAGTGAGAGCACGGGCGGGCCTAAACGGTGTCTTGGCGCTTTCGTGGGCCGTGTTTTCGCTTCGATCTCGTTCCGCGCTCTAAGCGCGGATCGGAGACAACGCGAGGGAGCACGAAGGCAACACGGAAAAAACGAAAACCACCGCTAGGGGGCCACATGCGAACCCTACCCTTGCCCCCTACGATTTCTGAGGGGGAGGGCGGGGTTCACTTCGCTCGGGAGCTTCCGAGCGAAGTGAACCACCGTTTAGGCAAAACGTTCACTTCGCTCGGGAACACGAAGGCAAAACGAAAACGAGAACCGCCGTTTGGGTTCAGCCCTCCACGACCGGCGGCGAGCCCCGCTGGGAAGTGGGGGGGGGGGGGCCGGCCTCCCAGGCACGATCGCGTCGTAAAGCAAGTTGGACGGAAAAGGTTTTGGGCTATTCTCGGCGCCAAAGTGAAGTCGGGCCTGTCCTTCCACAGGAGGAATCTTCAAACATGATTTTTTTAAAAAAGTAGTCTGGGTACTATTTCTGACCATGTTTGAATATTTTAGGGCATTGTTCGATTATTGGTTATTTTTCATCCAAGATCCCGCCATAGGGGGCCCGACTGAACTCCATGGGGCCTTCGCCGGGCCCAGGGTCCGTCAAAAGATGACTCGCAGGACGAAGCTCGGGTCCCGGGGAAAGGGTCGTACTTTCGCAGCGGCGCCGCCCTGAAGCAAAACTCAGGACGTCGCGTGTCTGGTCTTCTCCGAAGTCGGCGGGGCTTCTCAGAAGCCCTGGCGCCTTCCGAGACCCCGTCTGTGGTTTCGCGGAGAACGCGCGAGGGGTTTTGAGACGCCCCGCCGTCCTCTGAGAGGGCCCGTCAGAGGCGACGATAGGGGCGAATAGCCGAGGGGAGAGCAATACATGTACGGTAGGTTCGCGTCGTGTCGACCAGCGGCGACCCCAGCGCGGACGTTCAAGGTTGAACGCCGCCGGCGGCCCAGAATCGGTCGATGTTGATCGATCGGACGTTGCGGAGACGGCCGATCGTTCAAGGTTGAACGATCCAGCGCGGTGTCAGGAACCGACGCCAGGGTCGACACGGCACGGACCTGCAGTATTCAGGTGCGCCGATGATTTGTGTCTTCGAAAAGGCTCCCGGGCGAATGCGTGTAATGCCCGCCCCTGGGCTAGTCGCCCCTGTCGTCGCCTCCGAGCCTGCCCGGCCCCCTCGCGCCCCCCTCCCGGACTCGCCGCCAACGTGGGGCCCGAGAAGTGCCGGCATCTTCGGTCCTTCCCTCCTGCTTCTCCGGGGCAGGAGGAAAAGTACAATGGGCAGGAGGATCACGTGGTAAGAGAGAGGCAGGACGACGCGCGGGGGAGGAGGAGGTAGAGGTGGAGAAGGAGGAGGAGGACGAGGAGGAGGAGGAGGAGGAGAAGCAGGAGGAGCACGAGGAGGGAAAGAGAAGCAAGAAGGACGAGAGGACGTGATAGGAACTTCAGGGAGTTAGGGTGAGTCCCCTCCTCAGGGGAGCGCAGGGGGGTATCCCGAGCCCGTTCCCGTCAGGACCCTGTTGGCTCTTGGCGATGCAGAGTGTCGTTTTACACTTGGCAACCAGAAAGCTTGCTGCAGAGTGTGATTGCAGACTGTGTCGGCCATTGCTTTTGGGGGAGGAGGAGGAGGAGGAGGAGGAGGAGGAGGAGGAGGAGGAGGAGGAGGAGGAGGAGGGAGGAGGAGGAGGAGGAGGAGGAGGGGAGTGGGGAGGAGGAGGAGGAGGGAGGAGGAGGAGGAGGAGGAGGAGGAGGAGGAGGAGGAGGAGGAGGAGGAGGAGGGAGGAGGAGGAGGAGGAGGAGGAGGAGGAGGAGGAGGAGGAGGAGGAGGAGAGGAGGAGGAGGAGGAGGAGGAGGAGGAGGAGGAGGAGGAGGAGGAGGAGGAGGAGGAGGAGGAGGAGGAGGAGGAGGAGGAGGAGGAGGAGGAGGAGGAGGAGGAGGAGGAGGAGGAGGAGGAGGAGGAGGAGGAGGAGGAGGAGGAGGAGGAGGAGGAGGAGGAGAGGAGGAGGAGGAGGGGAGGAGGAGGAGGAGGAGGTGGGAGAAGGAGGAGGAGGAGAAGGAGGAGGAGGAGGAGGAGGAGGAGGAGGAGGAGGAGGAGCGTTCGCCTTCGCTGTGGCCCAGCGCTTCCTCGGGCACCCTTCCAGGAGGCAGGGGCAGACTCCGAGCCCCCATCGCGCCTCACGGGGCCGCACGGGCAGGGGCCGCCCCCCTGCGCCTGCTCGATGCGTTGGGCCCTTTCCCTCTCGTTCTGTCTTGTGATGGGCCTGTCTTCCACCACCACCACCCGAAGTTGGAGGGGGAGGGCCTTTGCCTCCAAAATTCTCGCCCTCCGCCTCCATCCCCCTCCAACTTATGGTGGTGGTGGAGAACAGGCCCATCACGACTGGCCCTGCGTTTGTTCGATGCGTCGGGCCTTCCTCTCGTTCTGTCTTGCCCAGGTGGGGGATGCGAAGGAGAGCTTCGGCGGCGAGCGAGGGGGGGGGGGGGGGACATGCGCAGGAGAGAAGGCCTCAGGACTTCTCGGAGGCCCTCACGGCCTCCCGAGAGACGTGTTGGTTGTCTTCGGGGGAGGCTCGAAACACTTCTCGTGGGAGGCCCGGGGGACTTCCGATCCTTTTGAGAAGGCCTTTTGTTTGGGAGTTCCAGGATTTCCGCCATCCCGGACAAACAAAAAGGCTGAGCTCAGTCCCCAGATTTCGGGAACAAAGCCCTTGGAAGCCGACTGAGATACAGGCCTCAGACGAAGTAGCGAACTCTTATGCCGCATTCATCTGTCAATGCCCCCCCCCGCCCAATGATGAATGTTGGCGGTGGGTTGAACGAGCTGCTCTTCGACCCGGGGAGACCCCCCCTTGGGCCGGGGGCGGCAAAGAGGGGGGTGATGAGTGGGTGGGGGGGGGACATCGTGGCGGGGGCCATGACAACCCCCCAGATCTCGTGGCGCCCCTCCTGCTGCTTTCGAGACGTCCCCGGCCCCCCCCCCCCCCTGGGCGCCGCGCACATGCCGCCGGCCATGCTCTGCACCCCCCGCTCTTGGACGCCCCCCTCTTGGCAGCTGCCGGTGGGGGCTCCCCGCGCCTCCTCGCCCTTGGGGGGCGGCCGAGCGCACGCCGCGGCGGCCCCGCGGGCAGCGCGTGGGCCCGCGGGCCCGCTGGCGCCGCCTCCGCGGCTCCGCGGGCCGCGCCCGCGCCGCGGGCCGCCTGCGGGGCGCGGCCGCCCCGCCCCCCCCCCTGCCGGCGCTGGGGCCCCCTGCGGGCCCGGAGGAGGAGGAGGAGGAGGAGGAGGAGGGGGAGGAGGGGGAGGAGGGGGAGGAGGGGGAGGAGGAGGAGGAGGAGGAGGAGGGAGGAGGGAGGAGGAGGAGGGGGAGAGAGGAGGAGGAGGAGGAGGAGGAGGAGAAGAGGAGGAGGAGGAGGAGGAGGAGGAGGAGGGAGGAGGAGGAGGAGGAGGAGGAGGAGAGGAGGAGGAGGAGGAGGAGGAGGAGGAGGAGGAGGAGGAGGGAGGAGGAGGAGGAGGAGGAGGAGGAGGAGGAGGAGGAGGGAGGAGGAGGAGGAGGAGGAGGAGGAGGGAGGAGGAAGGGAGGAGGAGGATGGAGGAGAGGGAGGAGGGGAGGTGCGCGCCCCCGGCGCGTGTTCCTCCGACCCGCTTCCCCCCCCCCACACGCTCCCCTCTTCTCCGCGCCGCCCGTCTGGTCGTCGTCTCTTCGTCGTCGTTCTCTCCTCTCCCTTCCTCTCGCCACCTCTAGGGCCCCTCCTCGGCCGGTGGCCGAGAGTGCTGGTGTTAGGTCGGGCCTGTCCCCCTACAGGGGGATTTTGGATGACAAAGAAATGATACCCCCAAACGTAGACCAGACACATTGACAAATTGTCAAGCAAAATCGTCCCCGGATTCTTTTTTGACTTGTTTTGAACATTCTTTGAACAGTTCCTCCTGTAGAGGGACAGGCCCGACTTAATGCTGGTGCCGCCTCTCCGGATTCCTGTGCGGAGAGCGGCCGCGCATCCGCGCACACCCGGCGCCGGGTTCTGCAGCGCCCCCTCCAGAGGACGAGCTGAGGGGCACGTCCGCCGGCGCTCGAGCGGGTACCGGCGCAGGCGCCCCCCCCCCGATAGGGTCTGCTCGGAGGTGGACAGACCTCCTGCCCTGACACGTCGATTAAGGACTTGGCCGTTTTCGGTTCGCGGGAGGGCGTCGCCGCCGTCATTTTTGCGGGTCCAGGTCCGTCGATTTCGGCCCCAGGCTGTTTTCGCTAAGGGGAGGTTTACTAAAGGGAGGTTCGTCCACTGCCGATCTGCGGCCGCGTGGCCGTCGGGTATGGCCAGGACCGCAGGCAAGGGGACCCGGACAGCAGTAGGGCCCCGGAGCCCCCAAACTGGCCAGAATCACTGCACCAGGTCCGCTGCAGCTGGTGTTTTCCCGGGTGACGGCAGTTCCGGTTAGTGGGACGGGGCCTGGGGGGGCGTCCGCCAGTACACATCAGTGATGTGTACTGGCGGACGTGATTCAGTGATGTGACATCACTGAACCAGATCCCACTACACCCAGTTCTGCCAACGCCCGAGATCTGTCTGTGCGGGCGGTCCGGCGGCGGCTGTGGCGTGATCTGTGTTTCGCCATTGGGGGAAGCGGGTCCTGAGGGAAACGGGTCCTGACGCCCCTTGCCGCCTGCGGGCTCTCGGGGCCCTCCACGGGCCCCGAGGCTGTCAGAAACCGGCCCAGGACGAGCAGCTCGTCCTGAGGGTAACGGCCACAGGGGTCCAGGGGCCCGTTTCCCTCAGGACCCGGCTCCCCCACGCGAAGTTTTTTGATGTTGCGGAATCTCGGCCGGAATCTTGGAAATGTTGGAGCAGTTTTTTTTTTTTGTTCCAGAGGGGGGTGCCATACAGTCGGCCCGGATTAGTAGGTCGACCCTGCCAGCTCAAGGGTACCTTCGTGTCCTGTGCCTCGCGACGCGCGCCTTCTTACACTCCTATGGCGATGTGGCCCTCGGAGGGGTCATTGTGTCCTCTCGCGTGTCCTGTCCAACCAAGGCCGACTGTACCACTCAGTTTTGGCCAGATCCGGGGTTCCAGATCGAGGAGCCGCACACATAAATTATCGGGAGCAGAAAGGGGGATGACTAGGGGGGGGGGGGGATTTCATGGCGCGGGCCATGATTTTTCCGCAGATTTCACGGCGCCTCTTCTTATTTCATTACGTCCCAGGCCCCCCCGCTGGGCCGCGCACATGCCGCCGGTCATGATTTGCACCCCCCCCTCTTGGACACCCCCCTCTTGGCCGCACACATAAATTATGGATGAAGGCGCGTGGATCAGCGACGGAACCCGTTCCCACCCAGGTCCGACGTGCTCCGTCGCCAGGTCCGGGGGGCAGTGGCGCCATGCTTCGGGAGGCATGCTCCCCGACCTCCGTGCACTCCATGGTGGTGTGTGCCCGGCGGGAGGGGGGCATGACGCCGTCGACGCCTCTGTGTTCGGCCTCGGAGTGCGGCCGGCGTCGAGAGTTGTATTCCCGCTCGGGGCCTTGAGACGGGGGTCAATGCAAACGGGGGTCAGCCAGGGCGCCAGATCCTGCAGGATCCTGCGAAGACCCCCTCTGGCTGACCCGGGTTAGCGAGCCGCTCGTGGCCGCGAGGCGGCCGCGCATATTGGCTGACCCGGGTTTGCGAAAACCTGCGTTGTAGTTATTTTTCCTGCATTGCAGTTTTTTGGTCTCTTGCTGACCCGGGTCTGGATTGACCCGGGTCAGAAGATCCCCGACCCGCACGCGCTTGTCCCTGCGCGCGTCACTCGACACACACGCGAGAGATATGGCGAGGCGGGCAGGTACCAGGCGCGCAGGCGCGCGCGCGCACTGCGCGCAGACAGGGGGGCCGCGCTGCGCAGCGGGGCGTCGCGTGCGCGAGCTCTACTGTAGGCTTTGGGGGTCAGGAGGAGGAGGACCAGAGTAAGCTCAAGACGCGTCAACAATTCTGCAGTACCTCGTAACATCCCCTCCTCGTGAAATCCCCCCTCGCAACAGAGCGTGCCATATCACATGATGTTCCAACCTACTTTAGCCTTCAGCGCCAGCAAGATTCTCGAGCACCAGGAGAAGTACCGAAGCCGGAGGGTGTGCACGCGTAGGGCCCCGGGAGGCGACTCTCGCCCGACACCGTTTCGGTACTTCTTTGGGTGCTCGAGATTACTTCTGGGACGTGGCCCTGCATAAGTGCGATGGGAGCAACATGAAGCCAAGCCAAGCTCAAGAGAGGAAAAACACAGACAGAATTAATCGTCGACTCCAAGGAAAATGTGGGAAAATATGGGAAGTGGGGGGGAAGACGAAAACCCAGAAAATATGGGAAAGTATGGGGAATCCTGTTATTTGCGTCTATTGATATGTGTGTTCCAGGGCCCCTTCACGAGCCCGGCCCGCTGCGACCCGAGCCCTGCAGGAGCCCTGTAGGAGCTTGCAAAAAACAGTCAAAAAATAGTAGGGGGACGATGTTTGGAGTATGATTTGACCATTTTGGTGTATCTTTTGACCTTGTTTCATTTTTTCGAACCCCCCTGTATCACCGAGCGCGTTCCACTACTCGCAAAGTGCCTACTCGCAAACGCCCGAACAAAAACACATGTCGGCTTCGATGTAATCTCTCGTGGATCCCCCGCGGCGGATCCAGGCCATTTGCGAGTCGTCTACTGTAGGGGGGACAGGCCCGACTTCAGCCTACTCGAGAGGGCGCGGCGACCGCGCGCCGCGGCCCCTCCCTTCGTGAGGATCTCGCCGGTGGTCCCGGCCTGCCGCGGGCCGTCTGCGGGTCCAGGCCCGCCGGTTTCGGTCCCAGGCTGTTTTCGCTAAGGGGGGGGTTTGCTAAAGTGAGGCTTGCCCACCGCCGAAAAATCCCCCCTGTATGGGGGACAGGCCCGACTGCAGCCTGCGCGACCGCGGCGCCGCGGCCCCTCCAAGGGGACCCGGATAGCAGTAGGGCCCTGGAGCCCCTAAACAGCCCCTGGAGCAGTAGGGCTGTTTTCGCTAAGGGGAGGCTTGCTGAAGGGAGGCCTGCCCACCGCCGAAAAATCCCCCCGCTAAAGGGAGGCTTGTCCACCGCCCGACTGCAGCCTCCCTTCGTGAGGATCTCGCCGGTGCTCCCGGCCCGCCGCGGGCCGCCTCCTGGGCGGCAGGACGACGGAGCGCACCCCGTGGGCCTGGCATCGCGAGGCGGCGCCCCCGCCGTCCTTCGTCACCCAAGGGGTCCGCCTCCCAGCTTTGCCAGCTGTACGACGTCCGAGCGTTCTTGTTGGGTGGAGGGCGGAGGAGGAGGAGGAGGAGGAGGAGGCGGAGGAGGAGGAGGAGGAGGAGAAGGAGGAGGAGGAGACGGAGGAGGAGGAGGAGGGGGAGGAGGAGGGGGAGGAGTGCCTGCGCGAGAGGGCGCGGCGACCGCGGCGCCAGAAGGGATCCGCCTCGCAGCTTTGCCAGCTGTACGAGGTGGGGCTCCTCCTGCTCCTCTTCACCCCTCCCCTGCTTCCATTTACAATATCCTAAGACGAAGATGGCACGACGACGGCGACGGCGACGTCGACCTTCGTATGGGATCCACCTCCCAAGCTTGCCAGCTGTAATGCGTCCGAGCAGTTTCTCTTTGGGCGGAGGGCAAAGGGTGAAATCCGAAACGCCGTTTCGATTGATCGTCGAGGTCTGAGCGTCTGCAACAGGTGAAGCACAAGACGGATTGATGTTCGAGGTGCGAAAGCCCATGTGGGATTCTACCCTGATCCCTCCGCCCTGACAAAATGCTCGGGACGGTTTTGGGTCACCGAGTTCTCGGGGAAGCGTGAGACTCGACCCGGGTTTGCCGACGTTGTTTGCCGAGCGCGTCCTGGACGTTGGCGGTCCAGTTTTCGTGGGATGGTTGCAGCAGGAGTTTCCGCGTCAAATTTCACGTCGGGTCTCGTCGCTTTCACGATGGCCCGCCAGGCCAACTCGAGTCCCCCGAACCTGAGTCTTACGTCTCCCC